TGCCAGGGATGGGGCAGCCACAGCACCCTCATACACATCATGTGCTGCACCTCACATCCTGTTTGACAACTGCTGTCAAGTAACTGGGGCTGGAAATAGAACCACGCTTCCTTCCAGCTGGTGACATCCAGCCCAGGCAGGTCGGAGAAGCCCGTTTGTGTCTCAAGGCCCCTGCGTGTGCCGGTCTGGCTGCAGCGCTGAGGGTGGTGGCACAGACGGGACGTGTCGTGATGCGCAAAGCGTGGCGTTCAGTGACACTGTAACACGTCAGCTTGGAGACACTAAATACCAATGAGGTCCCGGGTATTTGCAGTTTCATGGTATTTGTTGCTGTCATTAGGAGGAAGAAGGTGGGAGGAGGTTTGAGGATTAAAATAGGGAGAGAACTGCAACTTGTGGCAAATGTTTTAGGGGAAGCTCTTTAATGTGAGGCTGTAATAATGCTGCAGGCTGCTGTTCCTAAGAAAGAGGGGGGAATGAAGAGCTGTAAAAGAGGATTGAGAACTGGCATTTTATAGCAAAAGCAGGGAATGAATTGATAAGGCACAAGCTGATTTTTCTGTCTGTTGGGCTGCATCTGAATGAAGAGGGGGGAGGAAAAGGGGTAATATTCTTGGAAGGGAAAGGATAAGAGAATTACCATTTAAATGATAAATAATATTTAGCACTGTTTACATGAGTCTAGCCAGGCTTTTTATTAGAATTACACTTTTTATCGTAGAATCCCAGCCTGGTTTGGGTTGAAGGGACCTTAAAGCTCCTCCAGCTCCAACCCCTGCCACAGGCAGGGGCACCTTCCACTAGAGCAGGGTGCTCCAAGCCCCTGTGTCCAACCTGGCTTTATATTGCTTTATAGATCACTGTGCAGAGAAATGTTAATAGCACCTTCTATGAAACTTGTCAGCAATTAAAATACTGCTGAGATGTAAAGTCACTGTCTGGAGAAATGGAACCGATACTTGTACACGTGAAATACATAAAGTTAATCCTAAGCAGCTTCTTTAAATGCTGTATTTGAAGTTGATACCTGGCTGTAACTGGTGAGGGTGTAAGCCTGGAAGTTTAAGTTGTTTGACTGTACTTTTGTAAGATCCTTCCAGATGTTCATTGCGAGGGAAATGAAGGCATTAACTCAGACAGAGCACAGTGGTTCCTGGCTCTGTGCAAGCCAACTTCCAGCCCTGGTCTGCTTTCCTTGTTCGGTTGTGCACGGTGGTTGTATTCAAAGTACAACTCTTCTCACTCTCTCCTACTTCCATCATCCCTGCGGGCACAAATGGTGCTTGTAAGAGCCTCTTGCTGTGGCGTAAGCAGTGGCTGAAATACAAGGGATTGCTGTGCTGTGCGTGGGGGGTGATGGGCCTTGAATGCAGTGTTACACTGTACTGGCACACGGACAGTTGGTACTTTGCAGTTTCATGCAGGCTCCTCACCTGTCTAGTTCTGTGTTTCCTTGTGCAGAACACAGCCTCTTTTAAGCACGACTTGTCACTTGAACTGCTGCTAGAGGCATACCAGTTAAAAGAAAAATATTTAGCATCTTCTCATCTCTACATATGCTTTTTGCCTTCTGGTCTTTCACATCTGAGACAAGAAGCTCTCACTGCATATTTTCTTTCCATGTCAGCTAGAAATAGGCTCAGCTGCTCTAATTCCTGCACCGCTGACGGAGCAGCGTGTTGCTATAGAGAGCTGTCACCCTCTGAAGAGCAGAGTCAGACAGCTCTGCAGTCACAGGCTGCTGCTGAGGAGCTCCCTGAGTGAACACACTTTCCTCCTTCGGCATGGCTGGCTGGTTTGAAGCAGCAGTTAGACATGGAGTTACCAGGCTGGGTCACAGCTGTAGTTGAAGAACTGTAGATTTGGGGGGTTTGGTTGGGTTTTGGTTGGGTTGTGGGGTTTTTCCCTTCTTCTGGAGGACAGCTGGCTTCATCCCTTTGCTTATCTGTGCTTGCATCTGTCAGATGTCCTGATGAAGCATATTGTGGATTGGGAATTGCTCAGTTCTATCCCCTGCTTAACCAGTTGCCAGCCTATAACCTGATATAAGCTCCTTACAACTTTCACACATTAACCCAGATGCGCTTGTGCCTGGTGGGCTCCTGAGAACACAGAACCTCACCCCCATGTGAAAACCCCTGCAACATCCTGCTGCATTCTTAGGAGCTCACATACCCCTGAAAATGAGCTCCCTCCCCAGTGATCCAGATCCATGACTGAGGGATTAGGTGACTCCTGTTTCTGTTTGGCCTTTCCACAGGCAGAAGCATTGTGCAATTCAGGTAACAGCAGTGTTTTCATTTGCTTCAGGTATTGTCATCTGTGATCCCTGCACAGCTCCAGAGGGTGGCACAGAGGGTGCTTCACAGGCTTTTCCACACAAGGTATTGCACTTCTTAATGCTTTTGGCATTACTTTTTACTGTATTTCTGGTTCCTGTTGTGGCCTCCTGCCCCCGTCAGAGCTTTCAGTATTTTCCTCAGATACTGTCTTTGTTAGGACTGCTTGTCAGGGATTACAGATTCCCTTTAAGGTTTGTCACACTGTTGTCTGTTTGTTCCTTGCTTAGTGTTTAGAAGATGGTACCCTGAAATATTTGACAGATAAAGATGCTGTGGCTCAGTGGTTTCCAGTGTAACAGATGTTGGTCACACTAGTGAGAGAGTGCATCAATGCAAGAAGTACAACAGCCTCTAGACAGAGCTGGCAACCCCCATGCTCTCCCTAAAATCCCATTACTCTCAGTCCAGCAGTTTGGATGTCTGGGTGGCTCAAGAGGAAGCTTCACAGCTGCCAGGGTTGGGGGCATCTTCTTGTAGCCCTGCAGCTGAGAGGAGACTTCACAGGATCCTGCCGGGTTGCACATGAAACACTGGAGGAGAGAGCAGCAGAGGAGAGCTTGTCTGCAACAGACTTCCCCCTGTAGTAAATTACACACCACTAGCTATTTAAAACTCATTAAACTGATGTGTAATGCAGAGAACTGTAGTTAAGTGAGCATTGCTCTCCTAATGTGTGGCTTATCTTGGCATCTCGCTGCTGGAAGTCGCCCTCAGTGTGAAGCATCCCAAACAAACCTGTGTGCCAAGCAGTTGTGCAGCGTGCCTCGCAGAAGCTGCAGCCTGGCACCAGTGCTGGCCCGTGCTAACTCCTGCCACTCTTGGTTCCCAACAGCTGCTTATGGTATTACAGGGGTTTAAGCTCAGCTTTCACTGGGGTGTTCTTTGCTTGCAGAGCAGCACACAGCGAATGTCTTCTGGCAGAATGCTTTGTGCCCTGTTGCTGTGGTGTGTTTTGTCAGCACCAGGTGATGGTGAGACTTTGTGCTTCACTGATGGGGGAAAAGAGTCCAAAGGACGTGCCAGTAATGGAAGTGAGTTTAACTGGTGTATTGCAAGGAGCGTGTAAGAGAAGGGAAGGCATTGGATGGAGAACACACTATTAATATGCAATCCATGCTGGCCTGAAATCCTGAAAGAGGTGTCTCCTTGTGTTTGGAAAGTCTTTCCAGGTCACCTCTGAGTGTAGCTGACAGGATGCTGTATATTGAATAGACTGTCCCCTTGCTGTTACAGAAGCTGTTTGTTTGTTGTCCTGCACATAGTCTTGCAAGCTGCAGTGTATGTGGAATACACCTGGGAAGTGTTTGTGTACTGCTGGGAGCTGCAGTTTCACCTCCTCGTCCTCCTCCTGCCCTACCTGCTGCTGGCTGGGAATGTGGGCTGCTTCATCCTTTGCTCCCGGGCCAATCCTGGTAAGCTCTTGCTGACTGGGAGCTGTAGCCATTTGAAAATGGAACCTAAAAAAGGCTGTGAACACCATTACTTACTGTTTCTCTTGTTTCTTTCACAGGTATAATAACTAAATCAAATCATGCATCTTTGGTTAAGATTTATGCATACGATGGGGTATTATTTCAGAGGGGCAACGTGTGTCCTACGTGTGACTTGGAGAAGCCAGCCAGGTCAAAACATTGCAGTAAGAACCTTAACTTCCTTGATATGCAAACCAGTGACACCCCCCCAAATTAGTTCTCCAGAGCTACAGTCTCTGCCTTTCCTGTGCTTGGCTGGGCAGTGCTGTCAGAGAAGTGAAAGTCTGTGAGCTGCAGTCTTGGGGAATAAAAGAGGAAATGAGATACACAGCTTTGGGTTTAGTATTGGGGGGGTTATGATACACAACTGAAATTACTGTGTTTGCTTAAAATCATGGCCATAATTCTTGGATTTTGTCAGATGAAAAACTATCCTGAACTGTGTGAAAAATCAAATTAAGCACTTAAAACCCAAACAACTGACCTGTCCTTTGGCTCCCTCCTCCCCAGGTTTCTGCACTACATGTGTGCATCGGTTTGATCACCACTGTGTGTGGGTCAACAACTGCATTGGTGCCTCCAATGCCAAGTACTTCTTCCTTTACCTTTTCACACTGACTGCCATGGCAGCAACCACTGCAGCCATCTCAGCAGCATTCCTTATCCAAGTGGTGCTGCTCTCAGGCATGATGCATGGGAGTTACATTGATGACCAAGGGCAGGAGCGTGCTGTCGACATTCTCTTCCTCATTCAGGTGAGTTTATGCTGTCTGGGTTATTAGTTTATGTACAAAGGTTTAGCTCAGTCTTTGCTCTCAGGAATCTTGTAAATCCTCGTTTCCTCGCAGGCAGATGTGGACAGATGCAGGGGTTTGCCACCTTCACACAGTAATGCAGTGTGGAACACTGCCGTTGCACAATACTCTAAGTACAGGATTTTTCCTCACAGCACTTCCAGTCTCCCATTCTTTAGATTTCTGTCTCCAGGCTGCTTCCACTCAGCAGATCTGGTTCACAAGGAGTGATTTCACATTCCAGTGACCATCTATTGCAGTAACATTTAGGAAACAGTTGACAACCCTTGAGATACCTTCATGGAGATATTGAAGCAGGATTCTACTATCCTGGAATTGAGATACTTGAATGTTTTCTCCTACATACAAACAAAGGGTGATTTTGAGTCTCTCTAGCACTTGAGCCATTTGCTTTTCAAACCCCTCACCCCTTTCTGTAGTATGGCAGTGAGGTGACACGTAGCAAATGCCTTCTCTTTTCCTCATCCTAGACAACAGATGTTCCAGCCTTGGACTCTTATAAAGGGATCTTGGTGAGGGAGCATTTGCTCATATTTGAGCAGTACCATTCCCACTCCCCAGGATTGGAATTTAACTTGGAAAAGAGCTGCTTAAACTGCATCATGTCAGCAAAACCTGAAGTTGCACCAGATTGTGGCCCCTTCATTTGACAGTTTGTTTTCAGACGATCTGCATTAATGACTTTCCTAATTAAAAAACCCAACAAGCAGAACTCCACTATGAAATACAACATTCAGAGATAGATGGATGGAGAAGACGCTCCCACGTATTATTAGCCAGACTTTGGGAATCTGCATGCTTTACTCAAGGATTCAGTCAAGGAGCTGACAGAGGGCTGTGACCTCCTTCCTGGGGCTCCACAGTTCCATGTGTATCCAGATGTGCTTTGCAGCTGCATGTTAAACAGTCACATCCCTCCATGTGATTTAATGCTCCATCTTTCTAACTGAGTTGTTCTTTTCTTCTTTGCAGCACCTTTTCTTGACTTTCCCTAGGATTGTCTTCATGCTTGGCTTTGTTATTCTCCTCACACTGGTTCTGGCTGCATACTGCTGTTTCAATCTCTATTTGGCCTTAACCAACCAAACTTCCAATGAATGGTTTAAATCCAGAAGACATGAGTGTTGCCACCATCCAACACTGCAGCCTCCTGACAGACAAGTTGTCTACAAGAACATTTATTCTAAGGGAGTCTGGAGGAATTTGATGGAAATCTTCAAGCCTCCTGCAGTGCTGGAGAGCAAGAAGAAAACATGAAGATGTCAGTGTTTGTACGTGCATTTTTAAGCTGTTTGTAAGCCTTTATTCCAGCAATGAGCTCTGATGCCCCACACAGCTTTTGTAAAAAGGTGACTGTGTTTCAGTGAAGTGATTGGAAACTGTTTGCAGTCTTCCCGTGACACTGACATTGGCCTGTTAGTCTTTTCAGACACAATCACAGTGCAGAAGCATTAGGATTAGGATCAGCTAACGAACACATTCATAAGGAACTGGGGTTTTTATGGTTAGTTTTGTATGCTGCATAATATATACCCCTGTATAATAAGTAAACTAAGTTCCTCAGTTGCTTTAGTCCATCTTAAGTAGGTCTTCCTTCCTGCAGGAGACACTGCAGGAGTAGAGCAGTGTCACATGTGGAAGTGGCACTTCTTTGTCAGTCATCCACCTTTTTCTTTTGCTCTGCAGGAAAACAGTAACTCAGAGCTGACTGCTCTGATTGACAATGCCTCAGCAGAGCACTATTTCAGATACTTCCCTGGGTGAGATCTCTGTGGTTATCTTAGTCCTCTTGTTGCCTTGTTAGAGGGACCAGTAGTGAATTGGCTGGTTCAGAGAGACAAGTTGGCTCCATCTTACTGAAGTGAATCTTTACCTCTGTGCACACTTGCAAGGGAAGAGCTAACAAAAAGCTATTGTGAACTGTGAGGAAGCTTCATCTCTTTGTGAGTATCTTTCTTTGGCAAATGATTAACCCATTTCTGTTAATATGGAGAACAGGTTGCATGGATTTAGCTGAAAGACCTCGATTGCTGGCAGACTCTGAACTTGCAGAACCCATGTTCTACAGATCTGTGTTAGGATGGAGCACCTTGAGTTTAGACAGGGAACTATTACAAGTGAGGTGCTTGGTGAGGCGCTGGCACAGGGTGCCCAGAGAAGCTGTGGCTGCCCCATCCCTGGCAGTGTTCAAGGCCAGGTTGGACACAGAGGCTTGGAGCAACCTGCTCTAGTGGAAGGTGTCCCTGCCCGTGGCAGGGGGATGGAGCTGGAGGAGCTTTAAGGTCCTTTCCAACCCAAACCAGTCTGTACTGGGATTCTGTAGGTGAACACTGGGAGGCACTTCGTGGCTGTCCCTCAGAAAACCCTTGGCCTTAATAGCAGAAGACAAAAGTTAACTTCGAGCTGTGCAAGTGGCCTCTGACATTCCTCTACCTGGGGATCATGTGAAAGGCTCCAAAGCACACACGTACTGGCTGCTTTTGGAGGCTTGTTTGGGGGAAAACCACGTGTTTGACTCACCCAGTGATGAGGGTTTCTCAGGCACGATGTCAAGGGGCCCCGTTCTCTTTCCAGACATCCTTCTGTTTGAGTGACAACAGAGCAGGAACTGGCCAAGTCTAGTAAGAACTTTAAATAACTTTATTTTAAAAATGTGTTTATTTACATGCTGGAGCTGTACAATATGCAATTAAAACCCCATACATGGTTTAGAAAAAAGAAAATATCCTATACAATATGGCTTTACATGCCACCAGGCCCCTCCCAGAGCAGCCTGCCTGGCACTGCAAGGGTACAATGATGCATTCTTTTGTAGTATGAAGATACTGCAGTACCATGCCTTAGCAGGCCTAAAGGAGTGAGGTTAAAGGCATGAAAGTTTCTGAGTGGTGGTGAACACACACCAGAACTCCTTAGGTTTGGTTTCCTTGGTTTGCTTACAAATGCATATAAGTAAGTCTCCTATGAGACCCTACATCTTAGTTTCAGTATCTGAATGTTTTTGAACACCAGAACACCACTGTCCTGTGGCCAGAGGTCAATGCTTGGCAAAGAACCTTCCTTTGAGGCAGCGGTACAGAACACTGAGCCTGTCAACTCTAGTGCATCGGTCACTTCCCCAGTGCAGCCCTGCACAGGATTTTAACTACCAGTACTTCCATTTTAGACAGCAAACATCTCAGGGCTGCGCCCTCCTGTGAAATCATTTACCTATAGAAGCATTCCCTCCCTTGCTCTTGGAACAATGCGAATGGCCAGAACAGGACTGCTCAAACTCCCAAACAGGGAAACCCGGGGAGTTTGACATCACGTCTGTCGGTGGCTGTGTGCTGCTCATCACACGATCACGGTCTGGACTTCCACCTCCGCCTCCTGCGAGGCAATCACAAACTCTCCTGCGTGTTCCATGATTTCGATGTCCTCGGATGCCACCATGGTCACCGTCGCCTCCTCTGTCTCAATGCCACCCTCCGTGGTCAGCACTGCTCCCTCTCCGATGGCAGAAGCCAGGGTCATGGCCACCTGCTCTGTGAGGCTCTCGGGGGTGGCGATGGTGATGGTGTCTGCAGCATCAGTGGTTACTTCAGAGTTCTCTGCCACGGTGACGTTCTGCACGATGATCTGGTGACCAGAGTTTGCTTGATTCACTATTTGCTGCACGACCTTCATAATGTGGCTGTCAACCTACATGAAGAGAAGAGGACATGTTATGTCTCGGTGTGTTGTTCTCTGTTACAAGTATGGACAACCTCTTCCTTCTATGTAATCTGAACTTCCCCTGCTTCAGTTTAAACCCTTCGCCCCTTGTTCTATCACTACAGTCGCTGATGAGAAGTCCCTCTCCAGCACCCCTCAGATGTCAAGCTATTTACAGAAGAATCTGAACAAGGCACACCAGGACATAGGACGTTTGAAGTGACTGCAGTTGCGTTGATTATCTGAAGTTGGGTTTACTCAGCATGACTTTCAGGACACCAAAAGCACTTCATTTAATCTACAGCAATTCCCCAAAATAAGCCTTCATGTGGCTGCTTTACCTCATGTCTTGTTCCCTCTATGATTTCAGTAGCTTCACTGGTCTCCATGTCTTCAGTAGCAGTCTTGAAAGACAAAATATGATGATTCCCTTCTTAGATTATTACCGAAGAATCTTTTATTACCAAGATATTAGACACTAAGATCTTTTACAAGAGTCTTTCTGTTCCCCCCCTGCTGCAGTAGCTCCTCTAAAGACAACTCCTCCTTGAAATTACCTCCAAATCCCATTATCAAGAGCTACTTAAAAGTAACACACAACCAGAAGAAAATATCCTCTCTCAGCAGGACTTGGCCAACTGGCAGATTCTTCTCCTATTGGAGAAGAACTGTGGCAGCACTAAAGGGACTCAGTAAATGAACTGTGTTATTCTGCACTGGTGAGTACCAGCTCTTTGTCACAAGGGGAGAGAAAGCAAAATGCAGAATTCATTGCATCTGGCAGCCCCAGCCAGTTAAAAACAATGGAGATATTTCTCTGCTAAATTATTTCTTTAAGTTAAATAGAAATGGGAGAAAATAGTAGGTAAAAGTTGAGGGAAAGGTGAAGCAAGTTAGTGAGGACATAAAATCTGGTATGGTCAGAAGTTCTCGGCTTCCTCATGAACTGCTGTCTTCCTGCATTACAGGCAGGACTTGGGAAGGGGGTGAAGTAGGCTCCAGGTGCTCTCCTTCTGAACAAAATTCATTAATCCTACTTATTCCTAGGGTCATGCATTGGCTAGATCCTATTTTACCTTCTCCCAAGAGCCTAGGTGAGGAACATCATGCACAACTGCAGTTCTTAGTGACAAAACACCGTGCTGAGGTCAGCATGCAAAGGCACTGCCCACTTCTCACCTCGATGATGTACTCCTGAGTGTCTGCCACCACTGAAGAGAACTCCACCAGCACCGTGTGAGGGTCTTCGGAGATGACCGTGGCAGCCAAGTTGTCAGCAGACTGGCTTTCCTCAGACACCATCATTTCCTCCACCTCTTTCAAACCAAGGAGGCAGCCACCTGAATGGTATTCCAAAAATGCCAAAACCACATCACTTCTCATACCCATCTCAAATACAGGAGACGGTCATTTCCAGGTCCTTCATGGAAAATGCTGTGCAGCACAAAGGAGGACCTGTAACAGGATGCCTCTGACAAGCCACCAGGTACCAGGCTCTCATCCCACTGAGACTAGCCAAGTGGCAGCCTGGAAGAGGCCCAAGTGACACCAACCAGAACCGAGACTGGAGCAGAGCCACTGTTCAGTGCAATGCCAAAAGACACACGGCTCAGTTCAGGTGTAAATCCATACTGGATCTCAAAAGCTGAGTGTGAAGAACATACAGTAAGACTTTGGTATATTTTTAAGTCACGTATCTTTTCTGCTTAGTCGTTTCTGTGTCTACCAGGAAACTCTTTTTTTACCTTCCAGTGAACTTGTATTGGTTTTTACAACCTAAAACACCTCATCATTACTAAGTGACAGAGTTGGAAAATCCATGCTTAGGAGCTAAAGGAGCAGCAGGTCCAGTGCAACTAATCTGATCGAACAAGATTATCTGTGAGAACTCGAGACACTTCCTCACAGAACATCCCCACTTTGTGTTCTTACAGGTCACCTCTTCCCCAACACAGGAATCGAGCTCTCCCTGGCATTACTTTGTGGAGACATCAATTTTCTCCCTCTTTGTGTGTAGCCTTGGACCAGAGCCCCTTCAGAGCTCAGGGCAGGCTCTGGTAGGGTGCAGGGTCTGTCTTCCCTACTTAGGGCAGTGGTGACACTGCAGAGACCACTTAGGCCAGAGTCTGGAGCAGAGAACCCACAGCACTCCTGCAGTTCAAGTCTTGATGCAAGTCCTCTTTTGGTTATGTTTATTTAGATGATCTAGATTGTATATTAGAACTGGCTTACAGCTGTTTGTTCTGCACGGATTTTGGTCAGAAAGATCACAATATTCATTAATAGAGATGAAAAGAGCCCCATAATGCATCTCCTGGTGCAACCGAGATGCAGATAAACAGCGCTGGGTGCCAGTCTCTAGATCCACTCCAAGAAACCATCAAGCTCAGCCAAAATCAGCTTGTCCAAACCTACCCCGAGACCACCCCACACTCCCACCCCCCGCAGCCAAGCTCTGCCACCTCACCTTTGGTTTTGAGGTGCCTGTTGAGGGTGCCGTGCTCTGCAAAGCCTCGCCCACACCTGTAGCACTTGAAAGGCTTTTCTCCGGTGTGGTGGCGGATGTGGCGCACCAGCGAGCCCTTCTCCCGGAAGCCGCGGCTGCAGAACTGGCACACGTAGGGCTTGTCCTCCAGGTGCGTACGGAAATGGACTTGCTGGGCATTCTGTACCAAGGAGAGGAGCAGGAGAAGGGAGCTAAAGGGAATTGTGAACTGGAACAAGCACTGGTTTAGCTTCCAATACCTTTGAGGACTTCTTCTCGTGTAAGACGTGATAAAAACTTGGTTTTACCATCATTACATAAAGTTTTCCAGAGAGTTTCTTCACAAATGTGAAGGTTTTATTAAGACCTTACATGGAAGGTATCCCTGTCCATGGCAGAGCATTGGAACTGGACGACCTATAGGTTCCCTTCCCACCCAAACCATTCTATGACTATCCCTGTTTTCCTGGCTTAAAAACCTCCTTCTGGAGCTTCAGCTCATTAAGAGGCAAGTGGCCTCTGTTCTTTCAGGAGCAAAGCCTCCTAACTGCTCCCATACCCCGGCTCTGGAAATGGAAACCTGGCTGTGATGAGGGAGCTCACCTTTGTCTTGTACCGCTTGCCACACTTGGGGCAGGAATAGGGCCTCTCATCAGAGTGCACTCGTCGATGCCCCTTCACATGTGCAATGGTCTTGTAGAGCTTCCCACACTCCCCACAGCGGAAGCGCCGCTCGTTCATGTGCACCTCTTGGTGCTTCTTTAGCAGGTAGCCCTTGGTGAACTCTTTGCCACACTCCTCACACTTAAAAGGCTTGTAATCTAGGGAGAAAGAGAGGACACGTGGTTGGTACAGGACAACCCACAGGAGCAGGTATCTACTACATGCTCTAACAGAATCCTTGCCAAAAACATGAACCAGAAGGGGGAAATTATATTTTCAGCTGTGTAAGGGCTTTGTCTCATTCGTAAGTGAATTCTGCTCTAATGTTGCTTTCATGGCCCTTGATGCCTTTCAAGCAGCAGGTCCAGCCTGTCAACCTGTTCTGCCTCATGAATGCTTTTATTGGCCTCTTCATCAAATTCCACTTGCAAAGGATGCAGCGCACCCCCAAAATGTGAAAGTTGGAGGTGTTTTGTAAGGTATTTATTTTACCCTTTATTCTAGAGCTCACCCAAAGTCAACGTTTTGTATCAGTATGCCACTAATTGTTTGATTTCAATCGTCAGTTGATTTTGCATGGCTAAGGCCATGTAAAGGCAAGGGAGCTGAGACAAAGCAAGCTGTGCTGTGTGAGACACATCACATTTTAGACACTTCTAGCATGAGCAGTAGAACTTTACCTAAATGACCTTTCATGTGCGTTTCAAGGGAAGTAGCTTCAGTGAAGGCTTCGTTACAGTGAGGGCAAACATAACTTTTGTACCCATTTGTTCTTTCTCCATCTGTCTATTGGAAAGAAAATGGTACAACGTAAGTGGTTTTGTTCTGTATAGTAAGTATTGCTACCCAAATTCCCAGTTAAATACTCCAGCTTTCACAGGAGGGAGAGAGCACCTCTGTGTACTAACACTACACTTAAAGAATATGTGAAATATGTTTAAGGATAAAAACTGACACAAATGCCAGGGCACAGGGAGAGATGCACTGAGGGTAACATGCTAACGGTGCTGTCCACAACCAAGTGCAGGCAGGGAGCACTAAACAATGAAGCTATTTATGGAATACAAACATACAGACTCTGCTTGTTCTACTTCAACACACTGCTCCCCATACGGCTCCTCTTCTGCTTTCACTTCATTCTGCAGTCCTTCTGCAGCAGCCACAGCAGGCTCTGGGTCTGCCTTCTGCATCTCCTCCACAGCGACTCGCTCTATCACGATACCCGAGTTCCTCATGGCCTCCCTCAGCAGGTTCTCACTTGTCACTTCCCCCTCACATGGCAGCTCCTCAGGATGTGACTGCTGAAGGAAGGAAGAGTGGTAACTGGTACAGCAAATACACCCTCAGCCCTCTCTTTAGAGCCATTCTTTCTAAGGAATCTAGTGCTGTGATACAGGGTCAGCAAGGGAATGGTCTTGAACTGGGGAGGAAAAGGAGGCGAATCTGTACTCTGAAGACATACAGTCTGAGGGATGATAAGCCTCTGCTCCTATCATCCAGCACACAGTGGTGAACCCTACTCATCCCCCTGCATGCTACACACATGCTACTAAGCTCAGCCAGACTCAGCCTTTACATTCTCAAGTGAAAAAGCTGCTCATTAACTATTTACTCCCACCACACACATTTATTCCCTGCACCTACAAGAACTCTGTTTGTGAGATGAAATACTTTAAAATACTTCTCTGCGTGTAGCACATGAAGAGCCTTTAAGAGAAAATACACTCACGTCTTGCTCCAGGGATTTTGCATCTACAACAGGAAGCTCCTGCATTTGGACGTGGACTTCATGAAGCACGTTGCCTTTTGCATCTGTCACCAGGTGAATGACGGGTGAGCTCTCGATGGACTCACTTGCTATTGAGGAAACGGTGTCTGGGTTTGAGCTAGAGGATCCTGCAAGAAAAGCAGCACAGTGAGTCACGGGTGAGCTGCCACCCTCCCCAGCCTGCTGTGCCCGGCAGAAAACGTGCCTTATAACACAAGGTGCCTGCTAAAACCAGATCTGTTCCAGAGCATCTAACACTCTTCACAGTCACTGTCTGGCTACAGAGCTTCAGCTTAGTACTTTAGCTCTGTAAATTACTTTTTCCTGTATGAGATGAGAAACTGGATACCACAGAAGTGGGTTTTTCATTACTGACAAAGAATTTACATGCTCAGTTCTCCCAGACACGAGGCAAGTGCTGGAAGCAGCACTGACCTGTTGGCAGATCCTCTTTATTGACCACTATTTCTTTGTTCATGTTGAAGCGAATCCTTTCAGTGCAGGGTGTCAGAGACTTCAGGTGCCGAGTCAAAGCTCCCGATTCCCGGAAGCTCTTCCCACATTTCTTGCATTTGTAAGGTCTTTCATCTAGAAACAACAAGAATCAAAACAAGAGTATTAAGCTAATCACTGCCAGCGTGAAGACCCCCTTCAGCTTCCTACAGCCAGCCCTGTGCTTATCCCTTGTGGTGCCTCCCAGCAGCCCAGCGCTGTGGAGCTCAACGGGCTCAGCTCAGCAGCAGGAAAGTGCCACTGGAGGGTAACCTGGCTCCCCACACACAGAGCACACCCCAACAACGAGGAGCTCTTACCAGTGTGACGCCGATGGTGCCGAATCAGAGACCCTTTTGTCCTAAAGGAAGTTCCACAGAGTTTGCATTCATAGTCCTTCCTGCTGCTGTGAGTGATCATGTGAGCTTTGAGGATGCTGGCCTGGGGAAAGAATTTCATGTCAAAAGATGTTCCAAGTCATAGAATCGCAGACTGGTTTGGGTTGAAAAGGACCCCAAAGCTCCTCCAGCTCCAACCCCTGCCATGGGCAGGGAGACCTTCCACTAGAGCAGGTTGCTCCAAGCCCCTGTGTCCAACCTGGCCTTGAACACTGCCAGGGATGGGGCAGCCACAGCTTCTTGGAGCTAAGGGTAAGGATTTCAGTGGTAAAGTAGTTTACATTTCAGCTGTAAAGAACAGTGCTTCTTCAGAAAGTAGGACTTCCCTTTTGGAAGCATCGTATGCTCTAGAACAGCATAATGTTACTGAGTCTTGAGATATCTTAGTTAACATCTAGCCTAAATGACTCACTAACCCGAACACAGGGGTGATACTTACTGTTTTAAATGTCTTCTGGCATAATTCACATACATATCTCCCTTCTTTGTTAACCAGCAGCTTAACCTTTATCAGTTCTGTGGAGATAACCTGCTCCAGGTCATCGGGGTTGCCTGGCTCTTCTGGGACTTCCCCATCCGTGTGGCCATTTGGGTTTTCAAAAACGTGGTCTCCTGCAACAATGACTTCTTTGATGTGCCCACTACCTGGGGAGAGGGTAGGACAACAGTTATGTCCTTTGCAGAAGAGCTTTACCCAACTACATCAATTTACTGGTCCAGCATTTTGTGGAGCAGGAGGAGGAACAGGTACCTAAAGCCTGAACAGGGCTCTGCACAGTTCTCACTAGTTACTTTAGATGCTGGAGCGGGGCCAGAGAAGGCACCAGAGCTGGTGCAGGGCTTGGAGCACAAGTGTGATGAGGAAGGGCTGAGGGACCTGGGGGGTTTAGTGTGGAGAAGAGAAGGCTCAGGGGGGACCTGATCGCTCTCTGCAAGTGCCTGACAGGAGGATGGAGCCAGGAGGGGGCTGGTCTCTGCTCCCAAGGAACAAGGGATGGGACAAGAGGAAACGGCCTCAAGCTGCCCCAGGGCAGGTTTAGCTGGAGCTGAGGAACAATTCCTTGCCCAGGGTGTGCACAGGCATTGGAACAGGCTGCCCAGGGCCGTCCGTGTGTTTCCACAGCTGTTGTAGCCGAGGCCTCAGTGCGAGGGGTTAGTGGTGGCCTTGGCACTGCTGGGATAAAGGTTGGACTGGATGAGCTTAAAGGTCTTTTCCAGCCTGGTTGATTCTATGATTCTATTGCAGCATAAATATTAAACTGGCTGCTTCTGGAACAGTTTTAACTCTATTTGGTATTACTGCAGAGACAGTCGCAGAGCTGACCTGAGGCACGCCTCTCACACCCTCAGTCCCACGTCCTGCAGCAACACGGAGGCATCATGTGCCCGACCACAGACACATCACACTCCAGAGCACCCTGGAGGGGGGAACAAGCTCCTGACCCAGCTGGGGCACAGAGCCAGGCACCCCAAAGCTCACCTACTATAGCAGAGGCGTTGCTGATTTCCTCCGCTATCGAAGATGCTTCGACCACTATATGAGCAACAGTTATCGACTCCTCGACAGAAGGAACGACCTGCTGTGAGAGACAACGCTTTAGCAGAAGAGTTTTATGACCTTTAAAAGCTCCTGCGTGCTGTTCCCTCCCCTCCCGCAGCCCCGGCTGGAGGAGAAGCTGCTGTCACCTTCTGCACGTCCTGGCCGAGGCCCGGCGGCGCTGCGGGCAGAGCCTCGGGGACTCTCTGACAGACCTTCTGCAGCTTGTGCTGCACGAACTCTTCCAGGGAGGTGAACTCGGCCTGGCAGCGCCCGCACTTGTGCACGTCATCCTCATCTGCGAGGGAGAATTCGGGCATGGCTTAGGAAAACCACATGGAAAACTCCTGTGCTGCGTGTGGAGGTGAGCTCCGGCACCGGGGGGTG